ACGATGTGGCTGATGGAATAACACAACCTACCCATAACACTGGATCCACAAATCATTTGAAGATAGCTTCTGATTTGGTAATTTTTTTAATGGTACATCAATGTTTATGTTTATTTGTATATTTTACATTTATGGTATTTATGCAGAAGAGGAAATTAGGATGTGATCCACCACATAGTGAATTGTTCTTGTATACACACACGAAGAATCACGATGGAGTCACATTTACAAATTAAAAAGATAGACGAATTCATGTAATATTCATTTCAATGAAATTAAACTTTTATATTGTACCTAGTACTTAATGCTATTCATAACTTTGATATCTTTTAATTTAAATTATAATTATTTTGTAGGCGGCTATGTAAAAAAAGGGGAAGAGTTGGAAGCTGAAGGTGTTGAATTTGAGGATGACAAAATATTTTATGATGTTGTTGGTGGTCATGACAAAAAAGAAGACTTTATGGATTAGGCTATTTTGAAAAGGCGGTTCCCAAGATTAACGGTAACACGTATGTATCTTACATTCTGGAAAAAATGATGAAATGGAAGAATTGAGGGAGCTTGTTGCTAAACAAAAAGAGAAAAACGAAGAGCTTAAGGAAATAATGAAGGCCCAAGAAGACCAATACAACGCAAGAGTCGGGCAACTTGATAAACAATTTAAATCGTCAATGGATCTTATTAATGTTATTAGAGAACAACGAAACTAGTAGGTCATAAAGTGTTGATATGTTTATTGCAAATTATTTATTTTAGTGTAGCCACTTTCCATTTTCCCTGTAATAAATAATTATTGTATTATTTTATGATATAATGCTATTTGATTTTTTTGGTATTTTTGTTTTTCATATATTACTACAAAATAATTTGGATTTAATTTATAAATCAATTAAACATCCGTGCCTATGGAATCTTTGCTATGGAATCTGCTATATAATATACACCACATAAATTTCTAGGGATTCATCACCATGAAATTTTCTAGGGAGTCATCACCATGGAATTTACTAGCGATCCATCATCACGGAATTTACTAGGGATCCACAACCACAAAATTTGCTAGGGATTCATCACCTCAGAATTTACTAGGGATTCACCACCACCGAATTTGCTAGGGATTCACGACCACGACATTTGCTAGAGATTCATCACCATGAAATTTTCTAGGGATTCATCACCACGGATTTGGCTAGGGATTAACTACAACGGAATTTGTTATGGAATAACTACCACGAAATTTGTGATGGAATACTACAACGGAATACACGACGGAATACCATCTACAACAGATTTTATTCCGTTGTCACATTTGCGCCGAATGATTGTTTCCCTAGCTAACCCTCGCTATGGGATTTTTGGGAGGAAATTTGGTCATCGCAAATTCCATCGCTATTCGTCTTTTGCAACGGAATTTCAGCTTTTCACAACGGATTCCTTCCCTAGCAAAATTGTGTTTTTCTTGTAGTAGCATATCCTCAAGAGCTTTTATAGTCCTTTCACTCCGCCCATTGGTCTGAGGGTGATAAGCTACGCTGATATGCAACCGTGTTCCCAGCTCATCATGGAACTATCTCTACAACCGAGAAGTGAAATGGAAATCCCTATCAAAGATTATCGAAACTAGTACTCCATGCCTAGAGACTATTTCCTTAACATAAATCTTCGGAAGCTTTTCAGTCGAAGAGGTTTCTAGAATAGGTAGGAAGTGGACACTCTTAGTTAACATATCCACTATCAACCAGATAGTGTCTACTCCCCAAGAGTCCTTGGTAGCTTGGTGATAAAGTCCTTCATTATCTACTCCCACTTCCACATCGAGATATCAAGAGGTTGTAATTTTCCATGCGGCATCTGGTGTTCGGCCTTGACCTTCCGACATGTCAGACACCTCTCGACGTATCATCCTACGCCTCTTTTCATATAGGTCCACCAATAACTGTGTTTGAGGTCCCTGTACATCTTTGTAGCTCCTGGATAAATCGAGAACGTGGACTTATGCGCCTCATCCATCAGTATTTTTCTAGTTCCTATTGAGTATGGAACCCAAATCCTGCCATGTAGTGTCAACAACCCACAACTATCTACGTTAAAAGCTGAGATATGTCCTACAATTCTTTCGCTTTTCTGGTTCTCTTCCTTAACTTCTTCGCTCTGAGCTTGCTTGATTATCTTGAGTACTGGAGTGATGACCATCATCCTTAAGCAAGCGCCCTTCATTGACGTACTGGTTGTCCTACGATTTAACGCATCAGCTACTACATTGGCCTTACCTAGGTGGTAAAGAATTTCGCAGTCGTAGTCTTTTACTACATCCAACCATCGACGTTGTTGCATGTTCAGGTTGTGCTGATCCATTAGGTTTCAAAAGCTTTTTGGTCCGTGAAGATAGTGCATCACACTCCATACAGGTAATGCCTCAAAATATTGAGGGCAAAGATCACTGCTCCTAATTCTAAATCGTGCGTCAGATAGTTAGCTTTGTGAGGCTTCAACTGTCTAGAGGAATATGCTATTACTTGACCTCGCTGCATGAGGACGGCTCTGACACCTATGATTGATGCATCGCAATAAATTACCATGTCGTCAACACCTTCTGTAATGGCTAACACTGGAGCTTCACATAACTCCCTTCTTCGTTAAAAAGGTCATTGGTACCGTAATCGTGGAATAGTCTTGAATGAATCTTCGGTAGTAGCCCGTTAACCCTAGAAAGCTTCGAATTTCTAAGGGAGTAGTCGGGACCGACCATCACATTACTACCTCTATTTTGGATGGATCTACTAGAATAACATCCTGGTTAATAAGATGCCCTAGGAATTAGACCTCTTGTAACCAAAAATGACATTTGGAGAACTTTTCATACAACTTCTCCTTCCTTAGAACCTCAAGTACCTCTCTCAGGTGTTCTTTATATTGCTGTTAAGTGTTTGAAAAGACCAATATATCCTCATTAAACAAGATTACCGATCGAACAAGTATAGGTCTACATACCTAGGTCATTAAGTCCATGAATTCGGCGGGTACATTCGTGAGCCCGAAAGGCATCACTACGAACTCATAATGACCATACATAGTTCTGAAAGCAGTATTGGGTATAACTTCTTCTCTTACTCTCATCTGATGATATCCTGAACGTAGGTCTATATTTGAAACCACGATGCTACTTGAAGCTGGTCGAATAAGTCATCAATCCTAGGTAAGGGATAACGGTTCTTCACCGTGAGTTTGTTAAGCTCTCTATAGTAGATGCACATCCTTTGTAATCCATCCTTTTTCTTAACAAAAAAAGTTAGTGCTCCCCACATAGTACTACTTGGCCGAATGAACCCCTTGTCCATCAGCTCTTGAAGTTGTTTAGACAATTCTTGCATCTATGGGGGTGTAAAACGATAGGGTGCCTTGGTTACAGGTGCCGCACCAGGAACTAGGTTTATCCTAAAGTCTACTTGACGCTTCGGAGGCACACCAATCAGGTCCTCGGGAAACATACCAGGGACCTCACAAACTATTAGTACTTCTGCCATGGTTCCCTTCTTCTCCTCTTGGGTGTCGATTACATAGGCCAATAATCCCTCGCATCCATGTTGTAGGTATCTGCTAGACCTTGCGGTAAAACAAAATTTCGAACCACTCTTGGATCCCTCTCCCGGGATGGTTAGTTCCCCCCCACTTGGAGTCCAAACCCACACTATCTTCTACCTACAATAAACCAGGGCCTCAAACTGGTTTAGTGAATCAATACCGACTATTACGTTCATCTCTCGGATAGGAATGGGAATGAGATTTATGGGGAAACTACTATCGCTGATTCTTAAAGTACAATTAGGATAAACCTTTGATGCTTTAATTATTCGACCGTCAACTATTTCTACTCTAAGAGGATGTTATAAATTTACTATGCTGTTATTAAGGTTATTGCTAAACATTAGCGATATGAATGAATGACTTGCTCCATTATCAAATAATATTAAGGCATATATAGAGTTGACTAGAAACATACCGACTACGACGTCAGGTGACTCTTTGGCTTCTTCCCCTATGAGCTGAAAGGCTCGCCTTTTAGTCCTTGGGGCTTCAGCTTTGCCCTGATATCCATCAATTATCCTTAGGGTTGTTGGTGGTGGAGCTTGCATTGCACCTGTCTGCTTCAGAATAGGACATTGGACCTTGAAGTAACCTAACTGGTTGTAATTGAATTAGACGTGCATGTTCTATTTGCAATCCCTTGCATAATGCGCCTGCTTTCCAAAATTGTGGCACCCCGATCCTGTCCGACAAGGACCATTGTGAAACTTCCCGCACTTATTGCAAGTGCGTCCCTTCTGACCTACAAACCTTGAACCAGTAAATTTGAATTTCTTGGCCATGGTTTGCGATGGAGCCGTAGTCTACCTCTTCTCTGTAACATTCTGTTTTAAAATTAAGTAATTAAATAATAAATCCTAAACCCCAAGATGTAAATTTATATTTTATAGTAGCCCTAAAATCCATAACATTTAGCGAGGTGTTGGTTTCGGGGAGCCAAATGAAATGATTTGGATTTTCGGGGGTTAAAGTGTATTTCCGAGATTTATTTTGTAAAGATTTTCAGAAGTCAATGGGTGCTTGGTAATTATGGGACTTAAATTGAAAGGATTATGGAATGTTGAGGGTTAAATGGTAACTTCTGGGACTTGAATTGTAAGGAATTATTAGAGATGGGGGTTATTTGGTAAATAATGGGTTTAAGTTGAAAAGAATTTGGAAGGAGGGACTGAAAGCGGATTATGGCCAATGATCTCATGTGATCGGGTATAAACCCGTCACCTTCTCCAAACCCTAACCCTAGGTTAGTCAGCCGCCATCGTCGAGGAGTCCTCTAACCGCCACCTTGTCGTAACCGACCACCACTCTACCACCGACAGTCTTGCCGTCAGACGCCACCACAACGTTGCTGCCGGACGTCATGGGCAGCCGAATGAACCACCGAGACCGATCATTGAAGCTGTGAACGTCCGCTACCACCACTCCTCCGTCATCTTCTTCCTCTGCCTTCTGTCTTCATCTACAGGCGTACCACGTCCGTCATCGGTGCTACTCCAGCGCCCATCGCCACCTTCTATCCAGCAGATGCCATGGTAGAGCCGTCGCCGTTCTTGGTTGAAGACGGGCCACCTTTCTTCCACAGACGCATTGTCCGCCGCCGTCCTCCTCCTCCAAGTCCGACGTGCTGCTGTCGTTTGCGGTCTCAGCTTTTCCTTCCTCATTGCTTCGGTGTTACACCACAGTCACGATCGCCGCCGCCCGAATGGCTCGTTCCTACTGCTCCGGTCAACATCCACCACCCCGAGGGAGGTTACAGTGTGCATTCTAGCTTCGGTGTCACAAGTATGTATGTATATTCCGGTGATGTTGTTCGTTGTGTGGGTGTATCTCGACTGGAAAATCAAGAGAAGCCATCACCACCACCGTGAGGTGGTGGCTGTCACCCTCCAACCACTGCCTGCCGCCACAAGGGTGGCTGAGTGTGGGTGTGTGTGTTATTTTTTGTGTGTTTTTTTATTTGGATGGTTTTGTATAATTGTACTTGGTGAGCGGAATAATCAAGGAAATTCATAACCACCACCGTGAGGTGGTGGCTGCTGCCTTCTGCCTCCACCAGCCGCCGTTTTGGGTGGCGTTGTGCATTTGCGTGTGTTTAGATTGCTTTTGGGATGCTTGGACATTATTGGACTAGAATCATAACCACCATCACAAGGTGGTGGCCGCCGCCGTTGACCACCACTACCCGAGGTGGTAGTGGGTGGTGCCCGACTTGCTTAACCCTAATTGACCCAATGAAGCCCTAATTGACCTAAATCCTAACCATTTAACTAATTGTCACGTGATGGATTGGAAACCCTAATTAGGGTTTAGAAAACCTTAATTGTATAAATGAGAGTTTTGGAATTGTCGGGACCAACATGTTTGGACCATTGGATTGGAATTGTGAATAAATCCCGACCACATTGTATGTTTGACCTAGTAGAGTGATGGACTTAATGGATTAAGTCCTTAATGGGTTAAGTAAGAACACTTAACCCTAATCGTCATTTTATGTGAAAACCCTAATTTTGCTTGGGCCTTTCTATTGGGCTTTGGTGATTGGGCTATTGATGGCTAAAATGGAAACAAGTTATGGACTAAGGAAATTATTGGGCTTTAGGATAAGGCCCATTGGAAAGGCTTGGGCCCAATTTGGAAAATTGGGCCATAGGTCGGCCATAATTGGGCCTTTATGATTATGAGATATTGGACCATCAGAATGCCAAGTGTTTGGGCCCAATTTGGAAAATTGGGGCATATGTTGGACTTTGGTTCATTGTTTGACTTTTGGGCCTTCAGAATGTGGGTTTGGGCCATGGGTATGGGTCAAGCTAGGTTAGGGGTAAAGTAGTCTTTTACCCTAAGCATGGACTTATGGTTATGTATTAGAACCTAATTTTTAATTGGGTGTTGTTTTGATGTTGACAGTTCGGGAATCTGTTTACCAGCAGCTGGTGTTTTATCCGTGGGACTTTAACAGTGCAAGGCGAGTCTCCTCACCATACCAATGGGTCTAAGGCACCAAGGCCATCCCATTTTTGTGATATGTGGTACACTATTTGATGTAGTGATATGTGGTATACTAGTTGTTTATATGCTGTGTGCTATGCTAGTTGTTTATGTGATATTTCATGAAAGACCATAGGGGAGCCCATGACGCTTGGATGTCAGACCATGTGGGGGAGCCCATGGCTTTCCAGGTAAAGACCATGGGGGGAGCCCATGGGACATATGTGTAAGACCTTGGGGGAGCCCATGGCATACTGGAGTAAGACCCTGGGAGGAGCCCACGACATCCTTATATGTATATATGCATTGTTTATGTGATATGTGATATACTAGTTGTTTATGTGATATATGATATACTAGCTGTTTATGTGATGTGCGATATGCTAGTTGTCTTTGTGATACTTGCATGAAAGACCATGGGGGGAGCCCATAGCGCTTGGATGTCAGACCATGTGGGGGAGCCCATGGCTTTCCAAGTAAAGAACATGGGGGGAGCCCATAACACTTAGGTGTAAGACCATGTGGGGGAGCCCATGACATCCTGGAGTAAGACCCTGGGAGGAGCACACGACATCCTTATATGCTTATGTGATTGATATGGTTTATGTAGCTGATATAGCTTATATGGATTATGTGGTTATGTGGATTGTGTGGGGTATGCTCTGGGGAACTCACTAACCTTCGTGCTTACAGTTTCATTTATGGTTTCAAGTATCATTGGTTTGGAAAGGAAAGGTCTGGCTTGATCGCAGCGCACACACTCGTGTTTTCCGCTCTATGTGATTTTAGGACGTAACTCTGATAAATGTTTTAATTAAGTAATGTTTTGAATGATTGGATGAAGTAACATTTGTGTTTGACTATAATGAAAAATGAAATTTTTACCCTTGATTTTTGGGTCATTACACTCTCCCTCGTCTTGGTCTCCAACTCTATCTCTTTCCTCCTAGCATGCTCTTGCATTTCCGCTAAAATCTTGTATCGATTGTTCTATACAAACTACCTGATATCATCCTTGAGCATGCTTAGGTACCTAGACATCTTCACTTGTTCCGAGGACACATACTCGGGACACAACAAGGCTCTCTATATGAACATCTTAGTGACTTCTGTCACCGTTTTAGTTGTTTGCTTAAGCGACAAGAAATCCTGAGCTAGCCGCTCCCTTTCTACTAGTGGAACATATACTCTTCTTTGAACCTTTCTACAAACTGCTCCCAGGTCACCATCAATTATCCTTAGGGTTGCTGGTGGTGGAGCTTGATTGCACTTGTCTGCTTCAGAAAAGGACATTGAACCTTGAAGTGACCTAACTAGTTGTAATTGAATTTGACGTGCATGTTCTATTTGTAATCCCTTGCATAATGACCTTCCTTTCCACAATTGTGGCACCTTGATCCTGTCCGACAAGGACCATCATGAAACTTCTTGCACTTATTGCAAGTGCGTCCCTTCTGACCTACAAACGTTGAACCAATAGATTTGAATTTCTTGGCTGCGGGCTGTGATGAAGCCGTAGTATACCTCTTCTCCCTTGTCTGGATCTCCAACTCTATCTCTATCCTCCTAGCATGCTCTTTCATATCCATTAAAATCTTATATCGATTGTTCTATATAAACTACCTGGTATCATCCTTTAGCATGCTTAAGCACCTAGACATCTTCACTTGTTCTGAGGACACATACTCGGGACACAACAAGGCTCTCTCTATGAACATCTTGGTGATTTATGTCACCATTTTAGTTGTCTGCTTGAGCGAAAAGAATTCCTGAGCTAGTCTTTCCCTTTCTACCAGTGGAACATACTCCTCTTTGAACCTTTCTACAAACTGCTCCTAGGTCACCACGTTCTTCTCCGTCGGTGAGTAATCTTTTGTGATAAAGTTCCACCAGTCCTTCGCCCCATGATGGTGGAGATTTTGCATATACCTAAACTTCATGTTAGCAGGGCAAGTGCATGTGTAGAAGCATTCTTCTACATATGATATCCATCTCATTGCAGCAATTGGGTCTCTAACACCATTGAACTCTGGGGGCTTGGTGTTATTGAATTCTCGGTAAGGCATTTCCTTATATCCAGGTGAAGCTGCAGCAACAACGACAGCAGTGGCGGTGGCGACAACTATACTAGCAACATCAGCATACCACTCGTTGAACAGAGCATTTTGTTCGGTTTTGAAAGTTCTAAACAATTTTGGGATCATCACTCTTACAACTACTTCTAATGTTGTCTCTATCCAATCATGTATGTCGCTCTCGCTTGGTCCTGACCCTTCCGATCCAGAACCAGAACCTCTTGCTCTAGTAATCATCACTATGCTGACATATAAAGGGGAACTAGTTAAATACGAATTTATCACGTTATCTATATATAACATCCATCCTTCCCAGTTCCTTAGTAACCATGCGACTTTTCCTGATTCATGTATGGATCCTATGCTTCCGGTACTATAGGCCCATACTACCTTCCACACCTATCCATACTAGACCCAAGAATTGTCTGAGGGTTCCTAAATCACCATACCCTTCTATCAATAGGCGTTTTCACACACCCAGTGTTATAAGGACCTAATCACTAATATCCTAGATTCTTCTTTTAGGGTTCCTACTATTTGAGTTATTGTACTATAGAAAGTCGTTCCCAATATCGATAGTTGCCGATGTATGTAAGTTGTCCATAATCTAGGATTAGATAGTCTGTCGAATAAATAATTCTACCCTAAGCCCACAACTAAACAAAGAACATGAAGTAAGGTTGAACTAAGCATTCCAAGGCTATAGAATCCTAGTTATGTACAACACTAAAAGCATACACTTAGTACTTATATGATATCAATACATGCTTCAAGTAGCACATACAAATAATCCCTAAGGCTACAAGGCATCCTAAATATCAAACAATCCTAACTCAGCAATTCGCAAAAAGATCCATAGCCTTACTCTAGCATGCATTTCTAACAGATCATATAACAGTATGGATATTTTGGGGATTACTTTCCTTTCCGAGCTCCTCCTGACTGGAGGCATCACATCTTCTTCCTTCTTGTACCATTTATTTTAGAAAAATGATTTGTGAAGATATTCGGATCATTATTTTGAGTATGCAATCACACGAGTGTTCATCAATTCTCTCAAACCATGACTCTGATACCAACTTATAACGTCCCAAAATTCAAGGAAAAATTTTCTTTTTATTTATTTAAAAATATAAGTCTTCCAACCCATTACAAAAGTCATTGTCATACATTTATTTGAAAAGAGAGTTCTACAGGAAGTCTTAAAATATTATTTATTGTCTTTGATGCAAGTACAGTCATGCTGGATGTGACAACCTGAAATTTCCATTTGATCAAACTCTACCGTCTAGCACTTCAATTAAAAGTCAAATTCATTTCTGCAAATTTTTAGCTCGGTTTAAAGTCCAGTTGGGTATTTTTAATATTTATTTTTCGAGAGAACAAATGAAAGGAAGTATTTTCTAGGATTATTGGGGAACAAATAAAACAATTAACACCTTAATGAGGTGTTCACGGCCAAACATGAGGGGTTTGGGCCGAGAACTCCCCTTTGACCGAGAACTCATGCTTAAGGCATGAGTTTACTCCTTGACCGAGAACTCATGCTTAAGGCATGAGTTACTCCTTCCTTCCTCATTTCTTACTGCCAAACTCAA